TCCCCACATCCTCCCCTCGCCTCCCCAAGGATCACTAGCTGCCTTCTTCTGAAGCACTGAATTTCTCTTTACTCTTTTCTGAAACACTCAACTTCTCTTTACTCTTTTCTATCTTTCTACCTACCTCTAGCTCCTCTTGCTTCAGGAGCAGCAAATCTCACCTCAAGGCAGTCAGAGGTCCATGCATTCAGGTTCTCTCTCCTTGCACAGTTGGGATCACTTTGTTTTTTTGGGGGGATTCTGGGAGGTGAGGGAATGAGGTTTGTAAGACTCCCAGATACAGTCACAGTCCGGTGTTTTTTTACCTTCAAAACAATCCCCCTTTTCATGCTACAATTAGTTCGCAATCAACTCCAGTAATACATAAACAAAACAAAAATTAGATTCAGTCTTTATACTTAATCAAGTGTTTATTTTCCAGTACATTCTACAGTGTAGATGTCTTCCACCTCCCAGGTACTGAGAAGTCACAAGATGCAAAGCAGACTGTGGCCTCCTCCATAGCCTGTATCTCATTTTAAGCCAGATTCAAAGACATCTTGTACTTTGAAAAGCAGATCCCAGTAGAGGAACTCATCCAACTGGAAACAATCATGTGTGTTTATTTTGTCTCTAGTTCAACCCCATATGGTTTTCCCATCTTGAAAATTCAGCAGTGTCCTGCCAAAGATCACTCGCAAGTATCTTGTGACAGTCTAATGGGAACATAAATGCTGATAACACTGAAACAGTGGGACAACTTTGCTGAGGCTGGAGTGCACGACAAACATACCACTTGCCCTACAAAAGTCAAATTCTTGTACTTCCCCCCCGCCAAGTATTCCATACCCTTGTTCTCCATCAAATCCAACACATTAAGTACTGCATCTTTGTCATCTCTCTCTCTCCCACCAGCTTTAGCAACTTTGAGCCCTTTATACATACAGTGTGTATATATGTATACATATGCACACACACGAACATTTGTCCAAATTCTTTAAAAAACTAGGCTTTTAGGGGGAAATGGTGAGGGGAATGGGATGTGTTTCAATTAGAACATATGAGTCCAGAAGAAGTGGAACTCGGTACAAGCCATCAGAACCGAAAGCAAGAAATCCCACTCTTCTGCTTTAGCTTATGTTAATAATTACATAACACATTTAAGAGAAGTTAGATGATTAAAACAGCTCGTCTTGTTAAAAAGTCTCATGAACTTATATTGAAACAAGTACTTTAAAAACGTACTAAACAACCTCAAACTCACTGCTCTTCTGCTCTTCCTCAGTTAAGTCCCCTCCTTCCCTCTTCTCCCTCTCAAAACAACATTTCTCCAATCTCGGTATCTTTATGTATAAACTATTCTGTAATTGTTCAACAGAGATTAGGTTGCTCCAAAATACAGTCTACACCAGTTATAGAAAAGCCTAAATTATTTTGATCCCCTTCAGTAACAGAATAAATGCCCTGAATCGGTCTTAGGCCCTTCTGGTATCTCTATAGGAGGAAACGAGGCAGAGAAATCTCCTAGCCAAAAGCCTGTTGAGAATAACTGGACAAAAAACATAACTGAAAAAAATCAAGACAGCAGCAATACTCTAAAACGCTCCTCTATAGAAAAAAAATGCAATAGTGCTATAAATCAATCACACATTACTATCAGCTGTGCATTATCATAATCATGAAGGAGGTATATGGGATCAAAACAAAAGCTGGAATTGATGAAAGAAAAACTTAAAAGGCAAACAGCAAAACTACAGTACTAGCAGATTCACGAGATGGTGCTGCTGGGGAAGTAGATTAGATTTCAATGCAATAAAGAACTAATCTTCCAACAAGCTTTCCTCCTTCAGGAAAGGGTTTTACTTGCAATAATTTTCTCTTATACCGGACTCTTGATTTATCCTACTTAGCCATTTCGCTTATCTGCCTATACATTCGGTTTACTACTGTTTTTGCTAACGAAAAATGCACTTCTGTGGTACATATTTTAAAGCATTTCTTCCCCATTCTTTTAACAACTGACCTATCAACCATTTCAAATTTTACCTCACATTGCTAAAGTTTAGACTTTAGAAAGTCTCATTTTGTTTCTCCTAATCATAGTTACCTTACAATCCCTAGAATCTTTTCTACAGTCAATGTTTGGGCAACCAAAGTTGTGCTTCCCTTCTTTTAGCACACAGCCTGATTTATGCATCTTGCATAGTCTATTTATGTATTTTTCTGAATGACTTGTTAGATTTTTTTTTTTTTTTGGGCCAGAAACCTTCTGGTTCACAAAGTGTTATTTCAAATTTCTCTGCTTAACACTATATTCTTCCTCCACATCTGGACCAGAACATCGAAGTGATAGAAATCCCAAGCAAATTCCCTTCAGGAAGAGACCAGGGAGGTAAAGGAATAATCTTGCTCTGAGGAAGAAAGCTTCTAGCTTGGAAGCATCACCACTTTAGTGGAGCACATTTACATCACTGGCGTTATTCTTCCCTCTACTGTTTATCATCAGAAGTGCAATTACTTCTAAGATCCCTAGATCTGGTTAAAACATTAACAAAGACAGTTTGCAAAAATTCTGCATATTCATTTTCTCCTTTGATGTACAACAATTGTGCATGCATTAAGAAAGTACTGATTACAAAGAAAGTTTTCATACAAAATACCAGTCATTCATAGAAAATGATGACTCTAAGCTTTTTTAAGCACGATCTGCACAAGCAGCACTGTTTCTTCCTTACTTTCTGCACATGGTCACCCATGACACTTAGCAGTTATCTTAAGAAAACTCCACCTCACACCATATTGGCTCCAAGCACAAAAGAAAGTGATGATGTTCATCTGACTTTTGCTAGGCAAGATCAGAGCACACTAATACAGGCCAGATTAAATTGGTGGACAAAAGAAAGGGAGTTAGTAAGTAGCCCTTGCATCCTGACAGCAACCTGATATTCCACCAAAGCTGTAGTGAGTGCTTCAGAAAGACAGTCCCTCTTTCCTAAAGGGGAGTATTCCTGCCAAGGACTATAGAATACCATCAGATTGAACAAACCAGTCCAAGATTAGCATCATTAGGAGCTGGTGGGGAGGACATCCACGCCTTATCCTTTTGCCTGCTCCACTGCCTGCATATTGTCCCCTGCTTCACTCAGTGCAGAGGAAGATCACAGTCCATTGTACAAGAGCAGGCACTAATAAATCTGCCTTCAGTTCTTGGGGGAAAAAAAAAAAAGAAGGTGAGAGCAAGCAAGCAATTCTTCATACGTCTAACTAAAATATTTTCCTTTAACAACAATCATTGAAGTGCATTCCGTTTTCAATCATATTCCTCTACAAGAACATTAGCATTTTGCTTATATTTAGCATTGTCACACGCATAGCTACGTTGCATAATGTTCCATGTGCTGTATGGTATTAGAGCTTTATAGAGGAACAATCAAACTGGGCAGCAAATCAGCACAGAGGTCTACAACTCTGGTCTAGTAGATTAAAAAAAAAGGAAAACCAAAACCCATTTCTTTACCCAAGCGAAATAATACTTACAAGCATTTTTCCACATACTGCCAGAAGTCCAGAATTACCTTGTCCCGAGTCAGTGTCACTGGAAGATTCTTTGATCGAAGGTCACACTTCAAAGGCCACAGATCAATCTCCAATACTTCTGGAAACTGAAATAGCTATACATATGACATTGTATATATACAGTTTTGTTTCCTCTAAATATTCGAAGCAACCTACCCATCATTTACTTGCAGGTAGAGCTTAACATATAAGCTTAATAAAAGTTTCATCTTGTTGATGAAAAGTTACAGGCACTGAGCATAACTATCCCTATTTACCTCAAGCTTAATGCTCCATGAAAGTAACTACAGCATGTTAATATCCTCATGCTGCAGTCATTTATCATCTATGAAAAAGCCAATATTTAACAGGTAAAAAGCCTCAAAGACCAAAACAAGGTAACAAAGGGTAAACAAGTCAAGTATCAATGAATGATCATAGAAATAACGTCACACAAGAGAAATGTCACAAAATGGTGTTATGTATTCCACATAACTTCAAGAAACAAACTCCACAGATGCATTAAAACTTTCAAAATGGTAGTGGTTTTTATTTCTGTCAGACAAATTAACACACTTTGATTAATATGAATTTATTTCAACATTTGGGAGATAATGGAAATTAATGACTAATCCAGAAATAAAATCACCACTCTTCAAAAAATATACTGAATGCTCAATACGTGTGTGAATTTTATACTGTTCCTCTGATGAGCCCTTAACGTTACATGATATCACATACAGGTTTGCAAGACAATCACATACAGATTGGTTTTCAGCCTCATTTGTGAGCCTTTGAGGTGTCTAAGAACAGCAAGTTCATACATGCTATAATGAAGCAACCTAAGCATATAGATTTCCAATGAGTTTTGATTCATCTCAAAAAATAGAGGTCCACAAACCAAGAAAGTTGAAAATATTATATTGGAATAAATACTCAAACCACAGTGCCCTGGAGGGAAAAATCCATTAACATTAGCTTAAAAACAGAACATACATTACTGTGTTTTTTTCTGATTTTAGAAACCAGGACTTGAATAATGCAGTTTTCAATTGTTTTTGATTAAGATGAAGTTAAAAACTGCAGAGTACAGAAAAGTCTTCAAATAAGAAGCAATCTCCCTTTGTCATCTAAACCAAGCATGTATCATAAACATCTGTACTACAGAACTCTTTATATAGAGCAGAGATTTTTCAACAGAAACTGGATTTTATCTTAGTGTCAACCCAAGAATTAATGTTTTAGATTCCAACTTGTTTAGTTTTCAATAATGTAAAGGAGAATTAATTCCACAAAAGCAGTTAGCCGTCTGTTCCTGTTCTTCAAGTCAAATGCCCCCCTCCTCAGGTTTTCTTGCTGCCTTCCCAGAAGAAACCCCCAGTCATGGAAATCTTTCTTTCCTTTCCTGTTTTTTTTTTTTCTTTTTCTCGGAGGGGCGGGAAACAGGGGAAAAGGAGGGGGGAGCAGGAGAGGCATAGGAGGAAGAGAGGTGTCATCTAATGAAGGTAACAACAAATCAATAATTAGTTTTCACAGTAAAATGCATCAGCTTTGCAGTTTCATTTGAAACCAAGAACAAATCATGAAACGTCATGAAAATATAAGATAAAAAAATCTCCTAGAGTGATTACTAAATGAAGTTAAAATTACCACACTAATCAGTAAACCCCAGAAGAAAAGCAGATGCCTCATAGTACAGGTCCTACATTAAACAGTATCCACCTTCTACAATAAACCCATAAAATCGGTATGTTTGGCCATGTTGCACATATTTCCCCTTAAAAAACAGCGTACAGAAAAAAAATCGTTATTCCCAGTACGAATTCTGAAGTAGAAGCTCAAAACCAGGAAGTTAAAGATTAGCTAAAAGGATTTTAAATTATTTACAAATCCAGCACATAGAACTACCATAATGGCTTCATTTCCATCCTTGTAGTGGCTTTCACTCTCTTCCAGCAGCATCTGCATTAGTGATCTATGATTGGCTGTATCACTGCTCATCTGTCATTTTAAGCAATTCTAGAAGAGCCCCAACCGCTCCAAAATATCCCTGTAAGCAAGACAAAGACAAAACAAATCCAATCAAACTCAAAAAAAAAAAAAAGACACAAACACGACCACGTAAGGCCTCCAGTTCTGGTAAAGCAATTAAAAGCACATTTCCTGCAAGATATGCCATCTTATGCCAAAAATTTCCTTATCTGAATTATGATTTAATTTGATCTTGTTTATGTACATGGAAGAACATAACACCAAAATGAATATTATGCCGTTCTCCAAGTTTTTCAAAAAAGACATTACAGAACCATGATAAGGACACCGTATGAGGGAGGGCAGCTTCCATTAGGAACCTTCCACCCAGCCGCCCTCACGACTGCGCTTAGCAAAACTGCCTTCTGTTTCCTTCCATATCCACAGAGGCACAGGACTGCGGAGGGGGGTGAGGAAGCAGAGCTACCAGATGTACAATGCTTAACAATAAATACTACAAGAGTAGTAGTAGTCAAGTCAGAGCTAACATAGATTATTTACAAATTAACTTGTAATTAACTGATATTTACATAGAATTCAGTTTGTGCTTTCTCTTCAAAGTGATGCTAATGAATTTTCCCCCCTCCTCTCTTCTCTCCCCTCTTCCTCTCTCCTCTCCTTACAATAAAGGTAGGTTAACATCTATTTCCTTACCTCATGTTCCAAAAACAGAGCTTTGAGCTGACCCTTGGACCAATAATCCATAGCATATGCTAGCACCTTCATAGAAACCATATTAATTCTGAGAAAGTTTCCAACAAATACCACCTTGTCGATGTTCTGTAAAATTGAAAAGCAGACCAACATATATTAGATTCAGTTATGCTATTATTCTTAACGTGTTTCAGGCTCTATTAAAAATTAAAATGGGAATTTTGGGTTACATTTCAATTATCCAAACTAAAAACCCCCAAGAATTCTAGCTACTGACTGCCAAAAAGATCTGGCAACAGAAAAGAAGTTTTTTGTTCTTCCAAAGTCAGAGCGAGCGCCAAGTATCAGCCCAGGTAATTTGCAGTATTACAATTCTTTCTTCAATTTATCTGCGTATGATTTGGTTGCACTGAAAGGCCTCTATTAACCCTGCTTGTTTAACGAAGCAACCTTCTGGGCATCAAGATGATCATTAAATCCTCATGGAGGACTTCTGTGGAGTATGAGAAACGTTACCTTGGAGATAGGTTCTTTCACTATCTATTACATGAACATTGGTCCCATTTAAAAAATAAAAACGTGGCCAACATGATACTTTACATATATTGCTTCACATTTTACCCCTCTAAGTTAACTTGAGCCCAGTTTTTGTATAGAAACTTAAATATTTTTTAAACAGCAGAGCTACACCATCAGCAAGAGCCTTTCCTGTGCAGCCATCACTGCTTGTTACCAAAAATTTCAATACTTTCACAGTGCCTATAACTTTCACCAATCCCAGTGTGGTCTACAAGGCAAAAAAAGATGGTAACACTGATTCCGAGTGCGAGTGTGTCCATATCGTGCACATGACACATCAGGACGGGTGCAGAAAATTCACTAGAATCATCAGCCAAACCCTGGATGCATAAGCTTTTAAAAGGAGTTTTGGAGGAAATCCTAGAAACATTTTCAAGCATCCTCAGCTGACCACCACCAGAGAAAAACCTGTCTAGATATTACAGATACTTAGTGTTACCTCACTTCAGTCATTCAGCTCTATGAAGTCTAACACTTGGCTCTGTAGCAATTTTAGCAGACTGCAGTTTTCAAGTGTTCACTACTACACATTTTACTACTACACACAGTATCCTCAACTGAATACTCAAAAGGTGTTGATACCCAGATACAATAGTTAATTCAGTACCTAACAACTTTAGAGATGGATATTAGATTGGCCTTCTCAGTCAAAAACAAAGCAAAGCAAAAATTATTTAAATAATTCAGGTTTAGAGCCAGCTGTGCGCTTAGACTGCAGCTACGCCAGCATGCATCCACATTATTGGAATGGATGTATGGGAGCTTATAAGGACCTGTGAAACTTCAAAATGCTGCTGCCAAACAAGGGTAAAAGCATTTGGCATCTTTCGACAGCACAGTTTTGGCTCTGCAAGTCATTTCTGATGAGGAGGAGAAAAAACCCACATCTAGTTATTTTTCTGTAATGCAATAGCAACAAATTAAGTTGAACTTTGAATTGCATTTTCACCAAAAATTTTTTGCTCACTGTACATGTGAAGCTACTTATATCAGAAAGTAAGCAATACCTATCATTGAGCAGAACAGCTACTAAGTAAGTTCAACCAAGAACTCGTAACCCATCTACTTGTGTATATTGACAGGCAAATTCCATAGCAATTGTGTTTTCCAGCATTCCAGGCTTAAATTAAATAAATAAAAAAAAATGTTAAAAATGTAAAGATACCTAGATTTTACAACAGAAAAGAGCTTTGGCATTTTTCATTAGATTAAAAAAGAGAAAAAAAAAAAAAAGAGAGAAGGAATGCCTCAGCTCTTCAAAAACAGCCCTGCCAATTTTCTTTTTAAATTGTTCACAGCTGAAATATTCCAAGTTGAAAGGCAGAAGTCTTAAAATGATGAAGGGTTTGTAGTGAAAGGCATGCTTAAGCTAACTGAATTACAACATCCTAGAAAACATGCACTTTTGTGTGTGTTTTGTTAGATTGTTCATCTATCTGGCAGTAGAAAAGCTTGAGTTTACATATCCCTGTGCCATTTAATTGGAGAGTGAAATCTGTATGAATGATGCAATAAAAAAAAAAAAAGAAAAAAAAACCTGTGCACATTTTTGCAAACGCTCTTGCGCAGATGGAACTTTATGAAAAATATAAGCCAGAGATATTGGTTTCCTTTATGTAGCCTACTGTGCCTAGGACAGACAAAATGTTTCAAATGATGTGTAGCCAAATGCTTCCAGACTATGGAATTTTTCTACCCTATTGCCAACTTTGTGCAAGCAAGCTTAGCTTTGAAGTTCTGTAGACAGAATATTTCATTTATTCCCCAGCCTCAGTCTCTTCCTGAACATATGCAAGTCATTTTCAACACAATATTAAAACTGCAATCACTGAAAAAAGTTATCAAAACTCATATTTCAGAGCATGTAAATTGATTTTGTCTAAGAACCTAAAGTGAGTTTCACCATAATCATAACCTAACACACATTATACTCCACAAAAAAAATTTAACACACTCAGCTGCTGTTTAAGCATCTGAATCCCTTTTTGGGGAGCATTTAAACTATCAAGCCTGGTAAAGAGAGTCAGAGCTAGGTCTCCCAAATAAATTAGACAACTAAAGTTTAAGTGGAACAATAGCATTGCTTTTTAATGAGTGCAAGCTGTATGGAGATAAGCTGAATCACTAAAAGTGAGTAGCTTTGCCTCACTGTTACCTTATAAAGCAATAGCGTGTTTGAAATATTTTCAATAACACTTAAAACTAAAAAGAAAAAAACACACATTTTCCTCCCTCCCCTTTCAAACTACAAGAAGTATCCGAGAAACCATATTCTCACATTGACTGGTGAGTGAATGATAGTCAGCATATCAAACCACATTCCTCCATAAAATACTATGGATCATGTCCAATTTTTAAATAAGCCTGCCCTCCCTCCCCAAAAAAGGTTAATTTCTTCATAACAACACAAAAGCATTAAAGTTACATTAGAGGCCCATTTCCTCCTCTGAATGCATCACATGTGGCTCCCTGCTGAAACTCTCCATGCTTTGATAGCCCTGTACAATGCTGCTTGAACTCCATGCCACAAGGCAACACTGTAAAGAAGCTGAAAGCAAAGAGAACATGGAAAGAATCATCATGACTGAAAAAGTCAAACTGCCAAAAAAACAAAACAAAAAAAGTACATAGCCACTTTTCACAATGAAGGGATATATATCAGTGGCATTTTACAGGGACACATGCTGAGACTTGTACTGCTCAACTACTTGAGAAGTGCTGTAAAAAGAGGGATTAGCAGCACAATGATGACGTTTATCAACACACAAAGTTGTTCAGGAGAGTCAAAATTAAAAAAAAAAAAACAGCAAAACAACGTCAAAGAAACCTATAATACTGAGTGCCTAAGTAATAAAACGGCAGGTGAAGGCTAGATTAAAAGACAGCAGAAAGAGGGCTGAGGGAGAGACATTCTACCAGTATCCAGACACAGCGATGGACTCTAAATTAGCCATTACCACTCAGGAAGGACTGTAGAGGGTCTGTAGATAGTTTATCAGTAAACAAAAACAACAACAAAAATCCCACTAAACTGCATTTTCAGTGGCAAAGACAAAAGTCAAATACAAAAAACTGTTAAAGGCATAGGTAACCCAGAATTCATCAATACACCACTACATAAATTCATGGCACCAGCATATTATGAGCACAGCATGAAGATCTGATCATTCTGTCAGAAAATTAGAACTATAAAAAGATTAAAGGGACAATATGAAAGGGCAGAAGAGAGATACGGTCTTCCATAGGGGGGCAAGACAAATACCAGGCCATTTTGTCTTGAAAAAAAACAAAAAAGGGAGATGTGGCAAAAGGGCAGCACATGTAAAATTTTAAAAAGACATCCATAAAAAGGGACCAGTGATAAATGATTTAATTTCTCATAAAGCAAAATATTTTATTGCATCCAATAGATTTATCAGGTATCAGAGGATTTTTCCTCCCCACCTTTTTGACAGCGAAAACAGTTCATCTTGCCACAGAATGTTGTGGTGCTTAAAAAGTTACCAAAGTTTGTAGGTCAAAGCGATTCATTACCACACATATTGAACGATGCAACTTCCAGCTCAGAAGTCCCTGATATTTACTACTGGAAGCCAAAAAAGTGTATTAATGGAACAAGCCATCCCCAGTTCTCATGCTTAAGGAAAAGAGCACAAAGAACGAGCGGAACAAGTATCTGCGAGGAGGCTGAAACAGGCACAGAACTATATCTTATCTCCCACCCAACAGAGTGGATCTTACAGATATGAAAGCCTAGACAGTTCTAGTTCATCAGGCTATGAAAAGAATAGACCAAGCAAAAGGGTGTGTGGCTTTTTTTTTTTTTTTGCTTTTAAATCTCTCATGGAAAAATAATATTTGATAGCAGCTAAGAAATGATCAAGAGTATTACTGACTTGGATTACAAAGGACTTAATATGCAGGTCTTACAGCTTGAGAGCAACTGGACACCAGAAGGCTTCCCGTGCTCAAGGACAGCTTTACAATGCGGCTTTCCCCTGTCTTCCCTACCTTTGAGGTGTGCATTTTACCCTTTGCAGCAAAGCATACACAACACAAAATCACTAGAGTTAGGACCCAGCATTAAATACACGCATCTTTACTAAGGCCAGCCATATAATCACTATACCAGCAATTAACATTTTTTATATCAATGATCTATTGTGTTGTTTCGAAAGGTTTTAAGCTCGTAGTAAATATGCCATCTTACCTCATTCAAAGCACACATGCGAGCAATAGAACCTATGTTGTTGGTGATGGTGACCAAAGTAGCTCTGGCCAAGTCCTCTTTACTGATGGAATCTCTCTTTTCTTTACTCATCATATGGCCAAAGCTGTGTGAGGAAGATCATTCCTTTTAATATGAAGTATTTTGGAGCGTTAAATGCCCTTAGAAATTATTTCAGTTATCCAAGTTTTGCTTGGATTTGATATTCATCCACTTGGAGCAAAGAGGAACACATTAGAAGGGATCTCACTGTAAGGACAAAATAATGAGCAAAGACACCTATGCCAACATAATTGTAATTTAAATGGAAGCAAACTATATTAAGCATTGCTTATACCTGTTAAAAAAAAGGCAGAAAGTAGGTGAGAGATCCTAAACACAAGCCATCTGATAAACAAGGATGACCCTTCTACATGGACACGGTACATAGTCCAAGGATTAGGCATTTCGTTCAGCATGCAGTTAATATGGTTGTTTTTCAAGTGTTCCAGTGAAATTAATAAGTACCTTGAGGCTACAGCAGATCCTTGCAGGCCAAATCGCTCATAATCTCCTCCATAAATATCTTTCACCAGCTTATCCACGTTGGTGCTGTCTCCTTTTGCAGCCATTTCTAGTGCTTCCTCAAACGTCTCGCAGCCAGTCAGCAAACAGCACAGGCCCAGGAACGTTCCACCTCCAAGACTGAAAAGCACAACTCTGTGAAACCAGCAGCTTCAAGTAGCTTCTTCCATGGCTGTTCAGATCCCTGTTCTGAAACATATTCTACACAGCTACCAACTATGACCTTGCAACTCTACTCCTGCATTGGAGAAGTAGAGACACCCTATATGGAGCTTCTATTTAACACTAGTGTGGCTTTAAACGTGGTATTCCTAACAAGACTGAAAAGCACAACTCTGTGAAACCAGCAGCTTCAAGTAGCTTCTTCCATGGCTGTTCAGATCCCTGTTCTGAAACATATTCTACACAGCTACCAACTATGACCTTGCAACTCTACTCCTGCATTGGAGAAGTAGAGACACCCTATATGGAGCTTCTATTTAACACTAGTGTGGCTTTAAACGTGGTATTCCTAAGCCTCTAATATTTAGAAAGAAAAAAAATCAAGATAGATAAAAGGAAAGCTAAGAATATGGTCCAATCCCACTCACCAGTCTGCTACTTGTAGCAAGTTTTCTGTGGGTAAGAATATGCAGCCAGCAGATGACTTGAGTCAGGGATAAAAGAACTACCAGCAACCCAAATTAAGCATCTCTGCAGAGATAAGCAGCAAAGAGAGACTACATTCCCCTAAGCCAATGGTGGGAAGCACTTTGTTTGGTTCCTTCTAAAAGTAACCAACTTCAGTTACTTATTTTAGTTTATCCGAAATCCTCAACAACCTCCAGCACAATATTAAGGGTTATATATGTTTAGTAGTGAGTATTCCATACCAATTGGTAACTATTTTCAATTAGAATTCTACTTTATACTCCTTAGTCTCAACAGATCAAACTTACTTAATAAAAAAGCTACACAGGCTCAATGCATCCGAAAAGCATCAGTTCAACAGGCTTCAAAATCATCATCTGCAATCACCTGGGCTGAGAACAGCTGTGTTGAACTTCCCTATTTATCACCTCCACATCCTTCCTCACTCTTAACACCTGTGAGAAAGGCAGTTTGCACTAACTGCAGTCACACTGATTGCAGCCACTGCAAAAGTAAAGAGGACCAACAAATCTCAAACAATTCATCTGCACTCCACAAAAAAAACACAGAGGCTACCTAGGAACACCATTCAGTCAGTTGTGCTGGACTATTAGGAGTATTTTTCAGAACACTCCTAGTAGCAATATGATATATTTGCCAAGAAGTAGAAAGCTCTGCACATCAGCTACAAACAATGTTGGTTTTATCATCAAGTTGACAATTCACTGAAATTATCCACCCTGTTGAATGCCCAGCTGCCAAAACAGAGCGCTCGCAACTAAATCTCTTACTGAGTACATGCAAGAGACCATTGCAACTCTGCTCAGTTTGTACCTCACAAACTGTTTCAGAGTCCTAGCTGACCCAGGCTGAAATTATGCTGAGGACAAAGTAAGAACACACACACAAGCAAATTCTGGTCTTTACACTATGCCACAGTTTAATTTAACAGCATATTAGTGTAATCAGTGAAGGAAGAGAGAGCTCAAAATTCCTTTGCCAAAAATCCAGCAGTAGCAGGTAATTCTACCAAGATCTTCTATATTCTGGTTCGTGTCCTAGTGATCAAGCAAAAGGTTTCTCCTTAGCCCAAATATTCTTATTTTACTGCTCTGGCTGTTCTGGGGCATCAAAGGAAGGGACAGATTCATTTATTGGAACAGATCTATTGCATAATTCATAGCAAGAGATAGGAAGCAAGAACACCAAGAGGAGACAAAAGCAGCTCCCAGTAGAATGAATCAGTAATTTTGGTTACACAGCCTCTGCTCAGAACAAAACCTGGGCTATTTTCAGCTTTGCTACTGAGAGGCTTTTTCTAAAAAACAAAGATAAGCACAATTTGGAGCTGCACCTACTAGTCATGCTGACTACAGTCTATCAAATTACTAAGGAAAAAATACATGCGATAAAATTTACCTGGATCCCGTGACTCTTTTATAGTTATCCTTAGAATACACAGCTAGGATGCTGACCCCTGAGCCTATGTTAACCAGCAACATAGGATATGGATTATCAAGGCAGTAAGGCTTTTTCTGGCACTGTTCAGGATCCGTGGGATTTTCAAAATAATAGCATTCTGGTTGGCCATTGAAACCAACAGAATCAACGTAAAGCAGGCCCTGGATCAAACAGTCCAATTCATCCAATTTATGGAGTTGTAGATCAGCAATCTGGAAGAAAACAACAAGAAGTTAGTTGAGCATCTCTTAGTACAACATGACACTGGAACTATGCTCTGCAGCTCTCAGCATTTCTCAGGATGCAACAGGCCTTAACCCCTAATCCAACTATTTTCCCCAGCAATTTAATAAAACATTTAATAGAAAAAGCAAAAACAAGAAACTTAGCTAAACCACCAGACAGTTCAAGCTTTACCAATTGTATATTATGTTAACAGGCATTAAATTTGCAGAAGAATATTCCTGAAAAACCATATTTCTAAAATATTTCACAAGCCAACAGAGGGCTGTTCCTTGAAATTATGAGAAGCACTTTAAAAAAAGTTTCCTGAAAAAAAATCAGTATTCCCACTGTTTGGTGAAAACAGCAGTGAAAATCCCCAAGCAAAAATATCTTGAAGTCCATGCCCCGGCACACTGTTCGTAATAACATCATTGTAAGAGAGTGCAGAAAAACAATTTTAAGACCTTAGGAAGGACGTTCTTGAGATCACACGGATTCCCCCAAAACTGGGCCTAAGCAGGGAGGTCTATTTGTCATTTCATTCCATGTACCAGAATTAGAAATTATATGCCTTCTAGAAACGTATGATACGGTGACAGCCTGTAGGAAGTCTCCCCTCCACAGGACACTGGTTCAGACCCGTGTTAGGGAGATTTCTGTGGGGATGGAGGAGAAAAAAATCACCCATCCAAACCCTGAAGTCTCCTGCATTCTTGTACCTGGGCCACGTGTCTTATCTATTCCCTTTCTACTAAAAAGGCAACAGGACGTTAGAAACAGGAAGAAACTATATAAAACTAAGATGGTTCTTAAAATGTACACATTGCAGTATATTTTTGTAGCTACTACCTATTTTTAATTCTGGAAGCTATATTAAGTTACTATGAAGAGGAAAGATATTTTAGTACAACAGACACAAGCAATAGGTTACATTCTTCTGAGCTATTTAAATCTTTTCCCTTCCCCTCTCATACCAAGCAGACTCAAAACAGCTGAACAGTCGTTTGTAGGACTTCTGCCTGTCAATACATAAAAGTGGAGGTCATTGCTTCTTGTTTCATATTTTACTACTGTAACTGTCGCAAGTTTTCTTCTCGGTTACCCAGTTGTTACACAAGTTACAATTATAGAAACACAGCATAAAAGACTTTAACTATTTACCCAGCAAATAAACAGAATGAAAGCAAGAAAAAAGTGTTTCAAATAAGTCTTACAAAAATCTTACTAATAGCACAGATTTCAGTAGCTTCCTGCTATTAAATGGGCAGAGTAAACTGCAACCAAGAGGCATTATAATACAGTGGATTAACATCATAAACATCTTGCATACCCTCTGAGTCCACAAAGCCACCTCTGCTTAGGAAAGGATTATATAGAATATAATTTATAGTATTAATGTATATAATTATATGTAATTATATTTATATAATCAAATCTAATTCATAATTAGTATTTAATCACAATTAATGTTTATATATTTAAGTGTTGCACATAGTTTGCCAAACACTAGCAAAGGTTCCACACTTACCAAAATCTTTCCTATGTTATGCACTGCAGAGACTCGTTTTTGTCATTTTACTGCACAAACTGCAGCTTGACAAACCATGGTTTAACACAGACACACGATGCACAGAGTGATGTCACATTGATTTTTATGCATATCATTACCGAGAGGTATGAAATACTTTTTCTTCCAACACATGCTATTTCCAAGCCTTCCTGCTCCCTGTTCGCTCACCGCTACACAAACAAGCTACGGAAGAGCTATTTGTGACAGAAGAGTCACTGCTGGATTTGCAGCCTCTACGCCTCGCATTAGCCGAAGAGAGAGCAACAAGATGCTTGTCCCTCTTCAGTGTCATGACAAAGCTTGAAAACAAAGAGCCATCAATCCAAATCTAAGAATAAAACACTGTATCAATGCAGAAACACATAAAACCCTTCCTTCTACAGACTCTCAGGTCTGGCCAACGATTTTGTAAGGGAAGAACAGAAGAAACTAAGCAGAAGCTTCTTTCAAGCACCCACCAGCAAAGCTTTGTACATGAGAAGTCAAATGCAGTAAGAGACTAGAAATTCCTTTAACAAAATGTTATATCCAGTAAGCAGAAAAGCATTACTGCTTTCTTTCATACACAATAGTCACTGCAAACAAGCTGTTTCACAGTTTTGTCTTCCATTACTGAGGAAATGAGATCAGCATCAGTATTCCACACAGATCCACCTTTTACTGAGAGAATCCCTAGTTCTTTGGCCACGAGATCTCCATGGGTCAAAACACCCCAGTTCTCGGAGGCCACAGGAGAGCTGGGGCTGGAACTCACAGCCCCTGCTGGTGCCTCTCCAGCTGCCCTTGCTCTATCCATTCTCTGCTCACAAAGACTCAAGCACCTCAACTGCATCGCGAAACAGAAGAGCCTGTACACATCCTAACAAATGTACGAGGAGGCTTATGTCTTTTCTGGTGCACCACCTGACCTCACCACGTGCTGCTGCTCCTCATTTTTCAGCCGCTCACATCAGTTTTCCTTGCAAAAACTCAAGTTTATGTGCAAAGGCAAAACAAAGATGAAAAGTCATGTTAAAATGTATTTTTACGTAATTTATTTCCTGCAACTATCATTACAAAAAGTACAGAACCTCAAGAAATTATTCAGGATCATCAAAAGCAAGGACGAAGAACTTCAACAGACAGACAGTTGGGTACCACACAGTAGTCAATGCTGCCGCATGACAGCTCATGCCTGAGCAACTAACCCCAAAAAGTGAGTTGGAAAAGGTCCATTGTTACAAGTAAAGATGCTATTTTAAGAATGAAAACCTTCCTCTTTCTGAAGATTTACAAGGAGTACTAGAAAATTGCATTTTCTGTTCAAGACTTGTGTATATAATGCCAAACATAAGCCTTAGCTGTATTCAGACATCACAGAGTACAAAATGACTCACACCCAGCAAGACCACGACTGCAGCAACCACAGCAGGGCAGCTGACAGGACCTTGATGCCAAGAAACAACCTGTCCCCAACTTGCTGCCTCCTTCACACGCAGGAGGACAGAAGTCAAAGACCCAGGTCGTATTTGTTAGTTTTTATGGGCAATTAAGTGTTTCCACTCCAGCAGTGCAGACATGAGGGGGTCCAGGCCTCCTCAGGCGAGCTGAGGGCAGCCAGGACATCTCTGCAGGGGTGGGCAGAAAGAGCCTAGGGGATCAGCACGCATCTCTTCAATGAAGCTCTGGCTCATGAAAGTTTTCACTAAACTTTAATTTTTAGAGAAAAAAAAAAGGTAACTTTAAAAACCTATTGCAGTTAGAGCTGCTCACTTGTCTCCTGAACTTTCAATGAAAGATAGACAAATATTTCTTTAAGAAACTGTTATGAATGTAACATTTTGCAATTTTTAAACTATGAGTTAGAACAGCCTTGCTTACTACATCACTCTGGCTTTTATAACCCTTCTGGGCTTTGCTCCAAATTTTCATTCTTATAATAGCTCATGGTCTATCTTTTCCTCCTGTCTCTCTCTCTCCTTACCTCTCCTCCACTTCCATAAGTGTGCACTTCGCTTTCTTTGTATTTGGACTGTCTTCACTTTATCAATACCACCACCACAGAAAACAAATTGAAAAAAAGGAAACAAACAAAACCCCCCAAAAAACACACAAACACCTTTTAAAATCTGCTTCTTTTCCAGTTTAGATGATGCAGGTATTCTCCCCAGGTTATCCCATACACTGAGGCTAGGAAATTTCCACTTGCATCTAAATGAGACAAAGCTCAGTACAACCAAAGAGTCAACCCAACATCTTCATCAAGGCCAAAAACAAGGATGACTCTACACCAGTTTGGGGGAAAAAGCACTAGTTTGGGATCCATCTGCAGAGACTCCTCCTTCTTGGCCACCCAGCTGGGAGGATCTCTTCCCTCTCCTGCCAGGGAGGGCAGCGCGGGCTCCCCATCCCCCAGTGCCCTCGGCCGGATCTCCCGGCTGCTGGCAGCGGCACAAGGTGTCCTGGCTACTTGACTCCCTTCCCGGATTCCACAGGAGCTCCGAGCCGGCTCCACACGACTGTGCAGGAGAGCGGCCTCCTCAAGCAGCGAGAGCCGACACGAATCACCCAGGTTTGACACCACCCCAGGATTAGACACAGCTCCCCGTTATGCAGCACACACTGCAAAATACAGCTACCAGGCACTGTCAGGCATTCAGCTTTTATCACCACAGCTAGCTTTTCTATAGTATTTTCTATAGGTTTCTATAACATTTTTATGGGTTATGAAGTGAAGACCTGAAATTGTGTTGGTAACTTTTTTTTTTTTTTAAATACACACATTCATGTACACACACACATAAATGTTCTTTATTAAGTGTTTTTTGGCTCAGGCCCTGCTTCCACTGAAGCCAGCAGCAACATTCCTATCAAGACAAGCTGGGATCTGTAGTAACCTATTCAGGACACGAGTAAAGAGATCTCAATTTCAACCCATTGCAACTGTCAGAAAATTTGCAATATAGCAGCTTTTGGATAAATGTCTGCAGAGCAGACATGCAACCTTTCTTCCTTCTTCCCCCACATGGTTTTGTGAGGAAAGTCAGAAGAAAGTAAGAAGCGGCAGCCTAAGAACTTGCTCCTCAGAATATCACAGCACACCTCTGTGGAAGGTGCGTGTGATACCACAGAAGAGGCCAAGAGCTTACGAGATGTATATGACAAGTAAGCAAGCAAATAAGCTGGTGTGCTCTTCAGTTTCACAAACGGGACATTACTTATACATTTACTGATGTGAAGTGACAGAAGGAGGAAGGAGGGAGGATGATCAGAATTAGGGGACAGATTGATCCATGCCTCAACAGCCCGGCTACCTGAAAGCAAAGAAAGGCAGCCATAAAGACCACTCATTCAGAAAGGGAAGGAAAAAACACACACATAACCATACACACAAAAACCCTACAACCCCACGCTAGAAAGAATCCTTTCAGCAGATCTCTTACTAATGCTCTTTAACGAGCATTAAGTATAACCATACGGCTGGTAAAATTATTTCTGTGGTCTAGCTTAATGAATACAGTCAGTTTTCCTACTTCCGAGGAAAACATTCAGATCTTAAAGAGTGAATCAAATTGCCAAACGACTCATTATCGCCTGCAGCCACCCAACAGATCCTAGAGATTTCTCTCTGGCTCCTCTTATCTATAATCATAGAGGAAGGCCAGGTGGTGAAACCCCACTGGCTTTACAGATTTAGTTGCTTTTCTATGCATAAAGCAAAGACTCCAGGCAGACAGCAGATAGCTCCTACTGTTTTCCTATTTTTGTTTAAAAAAAAAAAGTTTGTATCAAATCTATTTAGAGATTTATATTTGGGTATTGTAATAGGCAAGCAGCCAAGGAGCATTTACCTGTTGATTTTAACAAGAACTGCTGCAATCTTAGAAGAAGAGTTTCTCTTGAATTTGAGTGTTATTTGCAATATGTTGAAACTTTTTTCTTAAATCTATGCAATCCCGAGACTCGTAAGCATTTAGAAATACTAAGAAATAAAGAAGTGTCCGTTAAAAGTATGTGTGGGGTAAAATGGAGGTTTAGAATAAAAGCAGGTTACTTACAACAAAATGCCAACAAATGTATAGGATTGCAATTAACACTCAAACATCACTTTTTCCATACTGCTTCCATTTTAAGCCTCTGCCATATAAGGCATTATATAACATGAAATACTCCAACAGCAGGATATTAGACTTGGCACTAGACTGCTATTCCTCCAGGTACGTTAGAGTAATCAAGTGTGTGAAACAGATATTTTAATGCTTATAAAGAGCAATGCTGCGACTGTTGTCAATGTCCAATGGCAGTCAGCAGAGCACATCAAGGGAAGCAGCTGCTGCTGCAGCGGCTCATGATGTGTGCCAGGTGAAATGCCAGCACCCAGGACACTTAGCCCTCCTAGAGGTACTAAGCAAGCCTTCACACAATGGAGAGCATTTCTTTTGCTTCTGTAATACCGCACAGATACTACTCTTTGAGCCAAGCAATGTTTGCTTTGAAAGAAGGTGTGGAATTGGATAGCTGTAAGAGGTGTTCGAAGCACTCTCCTTAGGCATGACTACACTCCAGGGATTGCACTACACTGAAAAACACCCCAGCAAATCTCCTAAAATGTGTGTATGGATATCCACACACTATACATGTATACACACACACATATATATTTCAAGTGCTGCGGCACAGAAAATATAAACTAACATTGCAGGGCCTCAAGATTTTACACGCAGGTCCACTAGTAACCAAGTGTCCTCACACTTTGGTGCCATAAGCAGCAGAACAAGCCCAACCTGGGGTCACGCTCCTAGCACCACCCGACTTGCCCTGCAGTAGGGAGCACTGCGGGATACAGCGCTTGGGCACTGACTGACTTGGAATTGACAGGCAGATTACCAGCCTGACTGCAATTAGCAAAGTGAATAAGAAAAGTCAGGTCAGTGACAGGTTTATTTACACAAATATCTTTCTAGCTAGAGATGTTTTGGGATCTGTACTGGTAATCTGTACTGTGCACTCTCCCCCATCCATCATTTAAAGCAGACTAATGGGATCACATCTACCACTCTAATGAAAAAATTGACATCAGCAGCCACTAACTATGAGTAACTTCATTTCTTATTTTAATTTTTTCCCTAATTATCAAGTTTTAATAAAAAAGTACTAATGCATCACATAGAACTTTTTGGATATACCACTTAATGTGAGACAGCAGAACGCGTTTCAGTCTGATTCTCAAGTTTAACCAATCTTGAGAAATGCCAGTAAGAATGACTGGGAATCAGAATAATCAAAAGCTACAGCAGCCCAACATTTGACATGAGAGAGATTGGACCTGCATTGTAAACTGCATATTTCCTCAAATAAGGCCAAATGTATGAAGAAAGACGGCTAGAGTGTGATAACCACCACATAACTTTCAGTTAATTCTACAGTTGCAGGAATAAGGGATATTCCACTTTGAATCTCCTTATTTAATAAGTTGATCTGATAGTATACAATGCAGAACATGAATTCAGGAAAAGTGCCCTTCCTGGAGGGATGGCTAACATCTTCAGAATGTCTCAAAATGACCTCCTGTTGTCACGGGAGGGTGAGCCAAACCACACCTGGACACCCGCAAGGACGCTCCCAAACTAAACTAAGGCCCCACTTGTTGCAGAATTCACCTTGGGTTATGGACTCTGATACCTCTATGCAAAAGAAATGTAAGTTGTCCCTTTTGTGGGAACAACTATCAGAATCTATTGAGGCTAATCTCCCTCAAAACCCACCTAGCACTAATAAAGATTTACAGCAATTCAGGAACTTGACAGTCCTTCATTATATTAGCAACTTTTACGCCCAACACTTACAGAAGATGGTTTCCTAGTACAGCAGCTGGAATTTGGGCTCACCTCCACAGCATTCTCATTGCCCCTTGAGGAATGAGAATAGCTTGATCCTCCGGTAGGCAAAGAATATTCACAAAAAACAAATCCTATAACACAGGAATGTATACCAGGAACTCGTAGATTCTTAAAGAAAGTCATTTTTGTCTGGAAGGAAGCAGTCAAGAGCAGATGGGCAGTTTCTTCCCTGTGCAATTTCAAGACACTTACGCACTTCTTTTGCAGTTGACACTGACTACCAAAGACGGGATTCTCTTCATTTAATGCTTGGCAAACTGTATGCCAGTACATGCACCTCAGTACCAAGCGTGAGAGAATCTTAATGTGTCCCATTTTTTTTCCTCCTCCTGCCTTCTCAGACCACAATAAAGTCACTGTCAGCAGAGGCATCTCCATAGAGCCCAGCCTGGCAGCCTTGGCTACTCCTGCAGTAAACACATTGGCCAGGGATGCTCCAGTGCAGTATTCCACTGCTGAAGAGGGAACAGAATTGAAAAGATAGTTCCCCCCAGGTTTTAAGAACAGGACAGAGCAAAGGCGCATACGCAAGGCAGAGTGAAGCTATTCTTTACTAAACACATTGGCCAGGGATGCTCCAGTACAGTATTCCACAGCTGAAGAGGGAACAGAATTGGAAAGATAGTTCCCCCCAGGTTTTATAAACCTTTATCAGGACAGAGCAAAGGCACATATGCAAGGCAGAGTGAAGCTATTCTTTATCAGGAATCTGAGGGTTTACTTCCAGAAATTTTAGTTCCAGTCTTTGCAGAACCTACAATTTGCAGACATTTCTGCACCCCAGGTCCCTCACCTAGACAGGACAGCAAATAGCATGAGGAGCTACACATGAATTACAGCTCTCATAGGTGGGGCAGGGCCATACAACATGCCAGGTAGAAGAAGAAAAATCCAGAATAGGTTAACAGTAGAAATCTTAGACTGCAATGATTAAGAGAAATGAGAGGTTACAAGCGAGGCAGGAAGAAAGGGGACTACACAATCAAGCTTGTCTGTAAACATCACCCTGGGTGTCAGCGAGGCAGCTGATAGGATCCGAGATGGCCCTGGCCAGGGTGAGGAATGCACACATCAAAGACTGGTCAACAGCTCACACATCAAGGCTGCGTCTCTCCAGCCTGAGGCAGAGACAGACAAGCAACTGCTGCAACCCATCACCCTGCGCAGTCCCTCCTCGCACTCCAGTCAGGAGCAGGAGATCTGCCTCCTAAGGTCACACATCACATTAGCTGTGCAAAGAACACTCTGGTACAAACAGGTTAGTCATTCTTTTACAGAAAATAAATGGAGACATGCACCAGTAGAGACACACACAACAGGCTCCTGCCTCCCCAGTGACTGTTTCGCTGGGAAGCAGCTTGCATGACAGCTGCCTCCACCTCTGCTCACCACTGCTTTCTGCAGGGCACACTCCAGCTCCATTCAGAAGCTGCAGCTACCGCAGAAGTTAACATTCCAAGCAGCACCTCAATACTTCAGATTTGCATCTTCCCCCCCCACCCCAGCTCCATGTAGGGGAGTTTTCTTCATGTGACACTGCCAGAATTGAAATCAGAAGCTGACTACATTCCTGTGCTTCCCTGAGCTTTCTCCCTCCACTCCAAGCTTGCTCTTCCAGAATCCAGACTCCAGCCTTCAAGCAGACTAATACCAGAAAGGGCGAAAAGGTCTTGTTGCCAGCCTGCATGGTTTCATTTATGGATTTTTCAATATATATTCAGTATACAAGAAGAGTACCTGTAGTCTCAGGCTTCAAGCTGTTAGTGTCATCCAATTAGAGCTGACAAAAGTGTTATTTTCTCTGCAAATTTTCACAATAGAAAGTCTCCTGTAAAGTCCCTTCCCGCAAACATCCCTCCCGCTGAGGCCACAGGACTTGTCCACGTACCGTTCTGAAGTCCTCCTCAAATTTGTAAGCTCCACCTCCTGTGGCGCACAGCGTCGTATGCAAACTGGAGAAGTTCTTCTCACTACCCATCTGTATGAACCTGTGCATGGCACAGCTGGGAAATCGGATGAAATGCAGGTTTCCTTTGCGTCCACACATAGTCAAATTTTTCAGTTCAAGATGGACATCACGAATGCCAGTTTTACCGTAAGCTGTATTGGAGGTCAAGTATTTCCTAATGCTTTTCAGGTTTTCCACCTCCTCCTGTTCCTCTTCTGCAGTTATGTCTTTAGGTTCGAAGTAGACCAGTTTAACCAACGTTCCTCCGATATCCATTCCAAACCATGGAAATGCTAAGGGAAGGTGAAACAAAGAAAGAAAAAGCCACTATAAATATACAGGTTAGTTGTATCACAATATTTTTCCTGAATGATTAATCAGTTGGTGGAAGTCAAAATATCAGAATCTGCTCCTGAAAACTGTTGGGCACTTGCATATCCAATTCACAGGCATAAGATACCTTTCTAAATTAGACTTTATAATCAAGCCTAAACTCCCCAAAACAGCAAAGAACCTCAAAATATCCTCCCTCTCTGGAGAAGTATACTCTTACAAAATCAATTTTTCTTTTTCCAGGAAAATATTTTCTTAAGACAACACCTCTTGGGAAAGCACACTGACTGCATTTCACCCAGTCTGGCTCCTGTCACCAATTCTTAAAATAGATTAAGGGAGAGTAGGAGAGAAAAAACATAAAAAAGATACAACCATCAATTAACCACTAACCTACCCAAAAATATTCCTCAAGTTGCATTTCTACTGCATAATATCTGTAATTCCCTAGCCATTCCGTCTATCCTTGATCAGCTGTGCTCTCCCCAAAAACAGGACACCCATTTAACACCAATTGGAACTTGCAGCATTCCCGTGTTCCAATGCTCCTTTTGCATGGTGGCAAAAAGTACCTTTCCTATAACAGTGGGTGTCTCCTCAAGCACCAGAGCTGTAACACTTGCAGATATCAGCAGAAAGAATGAGCTGCGTGAGTTCAGTGTTTAGAACCCACAGACAACGTCTTTCTTGAGGAGCACAGACGCCCCGTCCTGGGGCACACAGTTATGCTAGAAATGCCACTATGCGCGTGGCCAGCGCAGGCACAGCAAGGCCCTCGCGCCATCAGCGAGGAGGGAAGCTCAGTGCGGAAGGCAGGTCGCTGAGACCCGGCCCGCCTGCCCCGGGCGCTCCGCTTAGCACAAATGAAGAGCACAAGACCACTCCACAACCAGTAACACTTCAGTTAGGCTCAGCAGCTTAGTTTCTTCACAGCTGCTGACTGCAGTTATCTGCTGGAATTCACCTGCAGTAAAGTAGACAAATACTTCCACTCGTTGGACATCTAGGACAAAGAAACCAAGTCTCAAAGACCCTGAGAAGTCCCATTCTAAACCATAAAAGCTCAGTATAACCATAAAGAAAAATCTTTGTACTACAATAATTATTTTAACAACATATTGCAACTTCGGTTACTACCAGTCTATTCTGAAACTGAAGGCAAAACTGCAGCACCATTAATTCTTACCAATTCTTGACAGCAGCTCAAGCAGTCAGGATACCCCAACCCAGGTGGTACCTACGGATTGAACTTTGACCAGGGCAATCTCTGCTGACAGGTAGGTATGAGGAAACCTACTTGCATGCATACAGCCTCCATGGGCCCTGGCGAGAAGGGTGAAAAAAAGGATGACCTATTATGAAAAATAAAGGCACTGGATGTGTTGCAAAAATGTCTTTGCAGTGTAAAAAACAGCAATTCTCCTTGGTTAAAACCATCCAATGAGACTGTTACAAGCTGATTTCTCCTTTTGCAAAGAGAGTTAGTAAAGTTACTGTTGGCTCAATCAAATCTATTAGTGTGGGGAAAATAACACCACCCTGCTATATTGCTGCACTACAGTAAGTCATTAAACAAAAACTGATAACACTGTAAGTCTAGTTCCAGGCTTCACAGAACTGATGTGGGAAGCCTCAAGATGAACCATAGACTTTTAAGAGCTTGACATAAATCAACAGCAAAGACTCCACTTATCTTCTTAGGAAAATTAATTCTCTTTATGTTAACAGACTGCACCAATGACTTACAGGCTTATTATCTCAAGACAAAAATCTCCATTACTCCAAAACTTTGCTGCAGCCACATGCAACTATGCAAACAGGAGGGATCTGCAGCATTGCATAATCCCGTAATCTGATGCACAGCAGCAGCTGGGCTATCTGGGGGAAAGGTTCGCTCCGAGAGATTCCACAGGGCACTTCACCTAGTTTCACCACGGGCTTTGAACAGCATGAACCCATAAAGCTCTCCGCACAAGACAGGTTACATTCAGAATTGAACACACTTTTTTTTTTTTTTTGAATGCTGTGCTTAGCACTAAGCAGGGAAGAAAAATTTATCAAAGCTTTGCCTGTACCCCATGGGCAAGAATCCCTTTCCATTCTTACTTCCTAGGAGCACCTTGGTCATTAAGTAACACCTCCTCCTATTTAAAGGGATAACAAACAACAGCTCTGCTGCATGTTTAAGCAACCTCTACATAAGTCAGTTGAATTTTTGATTCTCTACTCTTAAAGAGAGTTTGTGCCCGAATCCTGCAGGTTAGATCTTTATTCTCTCTATTAAGATCCCAAACTTATCTGCAAACTGATCACAGCAGTTCCTTCTGTTGCCAAAGCTGTTACAGTTTACACAGGTCTCCTCACTCATTGCTGCAGACTACAGTGAGAAGGGTACTAACATTTTCACCATCCTGGTTCATGCACCAAACCCACTCAATCTCCTCTTGTTAGAGAGAGGCTCCATTTTCTTTTTTCTGTACTTCTCTGAAAGTGTTTCTCCACAAACACAGATAATCAGAGCAATATATGCTATTTCAATACTTTATAAATAACTTCATTTGTGGTATTGATACTCTTAAATATCTTCAGCATCACATCTTATAACGTTTTATGTTCGTTTTTTTTTCCTAAACATACATGATGAAGTCCTGGGATTTAATTTACATTTCTCATAATGTTTTGCAATTTCCAAATGGACTCATTTTCTAGAAGTTGTTCTTAACAGTTGAGTCTTTGATTAGTGCTACCGGCATTCAACAGGTAGTTATCTAGGTTTTTTTCAGAGATCTAATTTTTTATGTCTTCAAGACACTGCACAAATAGAACAATAAGATAACAGCTTCTCATCAGGAAGAACATTTTTCATGTGTGCGTGTGTGTCTATACACAGAGTCAAGGTCATGGTGAAGACTAATATTAATTTATCTTGATCACAGTATTTACCAGTTTATAATGCAGCCAACTTATTTACCAACTTGTAAGTCCTCATGGGCTTCAGTACTTATTTGCACACTACATTTTGGGACCCTTCTTCCACGCTTTTAAGTGGCACTAGAACAACCTGCACATGATTTCAGAGACATGGGAATTTACAAGCAAGTGTGCCTTTCAGAAAAGCAGCCATCCAATAGCCAGTGCATAATCTGGCTCCCCATCAGTTGGCTGCATAATCAGCTGTTTACATGCAGATACTTATGCTTGATATTTTGATGAGTGAAGAACTTCCTGTTTCAACTAGGACTGGAAGAAGGGAGGAGAGTCAAAAATAAGAACAAAGAAACAAAATAAAAGTCACCCAAGATGGGATAGCCTTCTCACAGCTTCTGTAAGCTGCTTTCTATTAAAAAACTGATAATAACTTACATACATAACTCAATTATTTATTTTACAGGTTTGTTTTGATCAATCCAAACATATGTTTTAAAAGAGAAACATTTGTTTCCATTTGGGCAAAAGTAGCATGTATAGCTTCGGAAGTTTCTTCAAGCCTTACAAAACTAAGGATAAATAAATCATGCATACATATTATATCAAGCTTTCTAGATACTTTAAGAAGACTGAGGCAGTGAGGGCTTACTGAATGTCTACCTCCTCACTTGAAAAAGAAAAAAAACAAAACAAAAAAACCCCAACAGAACCAGAAGCACAAAGTATAGAGCCGTTTGTTAAACAAGAGCAATCACCACACAAACCGTAGACTTATTACCCAAAACTGACTTCTGAGGTGTAACAGCAAATCCTCACAACAAACAATCTCCCACCCCAAACTGGCAGAGTTAGAGGGAGCAGCGATTAGCGACCAGGAACAGGAATCAGGTTCCTGGGCACCCAGGCTAGCGCGAGTGGGATGTACGTGAGCATCCCCCGCTGCCGGCCCCGCGCTGCTCCCGCCGTGGGGCCAGGGACACCCGAGGGGACAGCCGGGGCATGCAGCCACGCGCGCTGCTCTTCTCACAGCCAGTGCTACACCTTAGGCCATCCTCGCTCCGGCCTGTGGTAAAATCATCTGGAGACTTGCTGTGAGCAGCACGTCACCACAGGTAATTCCTAAGATTACAAATTTGCCGGATACTCTAATGTCTTGGAAACAATTCCAGTAACCAGTAAAGTCATATTTATAGTCACTGCATCATAGAGTATCACTCCTGTTCTCTTCATTAATGGTATTATATGATCATGGTATTCCATAGCCACATCATTACAAGAGAAAAATCCAGTTAGGTAGCCAGGCTAAGCAGTACTAGCTACTCATGTTGCATTTAAACATCACATATGCAGCAATCTAAACAGGGGCCAAAAACATTCCTTACTGTAGCTACACCTTGAAAGTGCTCAATAACAACTGCCCTGATTAACACACATCAGTCATTAACAGTCATGCTGTCTCAAAACACTCATTCTTGGACCTCTAATAGTTACCGATTAATTTAGGGTGACAAATAAGGTGCTGACTCAACCCGAGACCTAAAAGCTTGATCTTCATTTAGAAAAGAGCAATTCAATTCAGACATCTAGATGGTTTCTTCCCTACAGCAGAAGTGGAAAAACGCTGGCATCAGTGCAGAAAACAGTCACACCGAAATGTTTGCTCCTGCTTAGCCAGGATACTGTTGCACAAGGACCCATGAAGGGAAAACAGAACATACAAGCACCAGGACCTTCAAAGACCACATTTGAACCGAACACAACGATACTTCCTCCGGCTATTTTTATAGCATTGACAGCATTTGAATATTTTGTTCTCATCTGGAGTGCCTTACAGCATAAGGCATCACAACAAATACCTTTCTCCTTTTGCTGTACTATGCTGTGGCACAGAAAGCTAATGCGAAACCTGGTCTCACTAGCTGCCCGCATTAACGATTTGAACCAGAAACAGGCGTAAGCAAGACGTCCCTGACAACTCATTCTGCTTTTCAAGGTAAGGAGGAGTAAGCGATAAGAGAAGACAAGTTAGTCC